ATTTAACTCCGCAGTCTAATAAGTAGATATTTTAAGAATACAAACATAATTTGGATAATTTTATCAAAATTAGATATTTTAATTTAAAAAGAACAATTATATATAATTTTATTAACTTCGTATATAAATTCGACCAATGGAAAAAATCTGTTCATAATTTATACATATATATATATCCCTTTAAATACTCACGCTTCTCAGTATATAATAATTACTATTAAACTATAAGCGCTAAATACATAAAAGAGATAAATAACTTGACATGAGACTATGTACGAGTTTCACAAGTGGAGGGATCAATAAGCCGTTTGATGGACGCAACATTCGTCTGACTATATACGCGGTCTTTCTACTTGCCATGGATTCTGCGAACGTCGCACAGCGCCGAGAGCAACATAATTCGCAAGATTGCAAGCGATAAAAAAGCTAATTGAAAGTGAAATCGTTTCGTGTGAATTTTTTCAACACGACTGGCTCGATTCGTGTTTGGATAGCCATGTTTGTCCACTTAACTTGTCGACAGAAAACGTACCACCTTAACAATTTCGACTTCGAGCCTGTGCATAGAATAATTGCTAATTATTTCTTGAACATTACAGTTACGAATGGGAAAACGATTAATGAATTGTCATTAAAACAAAAAAATTAAAATTTACATTTTATTACATAGAATGTCATACTTATAAGTAGTTTCACATTACTATTATAGATTGACACGTGTATTTACAACATACTTGATATGCGCTGTTATTGAGTATCAATGTAATACGTATAAACCGTGTTACTGCTCGCCTACAAACGCTTTATGTCTGTAATTATTAGATAATAAATGTTTATTACGATTTACGAACTAAGATTACACGGGATGCATTTTGTTCAAACCACAATTACGTTTTATAGCGAATTAAGTTATAACCGAGTATCGATTTGAAGGGTACAATGCTTTGAAAACATTTTCTCATAAATAATGTGATGTATATTGTATAATACATAAATAAATTGCCAACGACAGTTTATATTTATTACAGGTTCCTTCTATTCTCAATCATCATGAAGTGTTCCTGGAGGAACTACGTAAAAGACTGGATACCTGGGAACAGAAGCAGACGATTGGCGATGTCTTCCTCGATGTGGTATGTTATTAGTAATAAATTCAATTCTTACGTTAAACAACTATTAACTCACTTCAACGAAATTTTCAATTATTATGACTACTGCCTTTTCTATATTTAAAATTATTGTACTTGATGAATTGTTCTTGATACTTATAAAAGGATTAACTTAAACTTAGAATTATATCCTAATTTATTATTTCTTTCGTACAATCTTTTTGCAGTTCACCAAGCCAGTCGTCCTGAAGACGTACACTCTTTTTCTTGACAATTGGAAATCTGCCAGGAAGGCGATAAAAACAACCTGCCAAGCAAAACCGGCTTTCGCACGATTCCTGGAGGTACACAGTGTACATCCTTTTCATTTTCCTCGTCCCAATTAGCATTTTATCTTTCTTTATTATCGAGCCAGTAGCTTCTGTTTAACTCCTTTAATTTTCGCGATCCTTTATTTGCTAAATTTCTTAGAACGTAACAAAAGGAACAAAAAGCATTTCGTAACGAAATATTTGAACAGAACGTGCGAGGCATTTACATATCTTTCAATTTCACTGTGTATGAGAAATATTTGTGTCACGAATATCTCGATTTCTCAAATCGTACGTCTCTTCACTGTTCCTTGAAATTCTCAAGTTAACCGTGACACAAGTTCCATTTCCTTGCCTGAAATCGTAAACAGTGAATCTGACATGCCTGAATTGTCTCTTCTCTGGCCAGACAATGGAACGGGAGCATAAAGGAAAACTCGGACTCGATCAGTTATTGATCAAACCGGTGCAGAAGATACCTCGTTACGAGTTGCTGATCCAGAGGCTGCTGAAGCATACCGATTCGACGCATCCGGATTTCGAGCTGTTGCAGGCTGCTCTGAAGGAGGTGCACGAGTTGGTCGTAAAAATTAATTGTACGGAAAGAGAGTCCCTCGAATGGGAGCAACAACAAACTACGTTGAGGGAAGTTCAGGCCCTCGTCGAAGGACTCGACGGTATCGTGACGAACGATAGGTGAGTGTAGATTCTTTTTTAATA